TTTTTTTTTTTTTTTTTTTTTTTTTTTTACAGACTTGCATCTGTGTCCTTCTCAAACATTTAACTGAACATTCATAAAACCCTGGTTAGAGAAAGCAAACCACTATGCATGCTCTGTGGATAGGAACTAAAGCAGAAGTTAGAATCACTGCTTTCAAAGCCTTAGTAGAACAGCTATGGTTTGACTGCCTGCTAGTATGAATCGCTCCTCCTCTCCAGCCTGGCCCTGTGGTGAGCTCTGCCTCATTCTAATGAATGACCCCCTGTTCCAGTGTCATCATCTTCTGTACCTAGACACAGTCTCCACTTATCACAGTCGTCCAAGGATGCATTCACCTCATTTCTACAAACTCCTCCTACTTGCAGCTACAAATTTCAATGTTCCCCCTGTATATACAGTTTATTATCTCACAGTGTATCCATACATTCCCTTTTCACACTGTCTTTTAGCTTATTTTTTTTCTTCCAGGCTTCTTTCTTCAGTGTGCCTGTCTCTGGACACCTATGGCTTTCCCACAGCACCTTCCTATCGTTTTCCTAATTTTAAGTCACAATATCGTCCTATTATCTTTGTACCTAATGTCAGAGCTCTCCTAATACTTGTGCCTAAGTCCCTATTAGCAAAGGATAACTCTGCATGAAGCTGCAAGTCCACACTGCAAAGTAAAGGGGAGAGTGCTTTTACTTAAAAGGCAAATATTTGACACGTCTTAAACATAAGCAAAGATTCTTTTACTCAGCCATAATCTCTGACACTGCTGAACTGTTCAAGTGGCTCTTTTTTTAGAAAACATAGCAAGAGATCCAGTAAATAAGCCAAGGCAGCCTATTTCAATAGTTTGTGAATATAAAATGTATTTCCAGTATTTTCAAACACAATGTACTCCAGTATATTTCCTTATGAAAAAGCCTCTCATTGAAAGAAAAAAAAAAAAAAAGGAAAAAGCTCTTCAGAACATCAGACCTGCTTTATCTCAACATTATTTGTATTAGCTTCACATTAGGAAAAAATCCCCAAACAAGTAATCTTTACGCACAAATCACAATTAGCAATAAAGGATTTGTGATAAAAATATGCTGTATAACAATGTAAACGCAGTCATTCTAGAGGAGCTACTTTAGCTTTTCTGATAATGTTCCCTTAGCAGAGAAAAACCATATATAATAATGACAAGGTTATTTGTTTCTTATGCCATTCTATCCAATTTAAATCCATATACACATGCCAATGAAATGCACCGGGGCAAAAAGCTACGTATTTATTGAGGCATTCATGGATTATATGTTGGAAAATTGTTGCAATTAGGGGCCAGCTCCTCATTTACACAAAATTTACCCTCTCACCAATACAATGGACATACATTGACTTACAATAGCTGCGAATTTGATCCTGGTATTTTACCACTATTTATAAAGATTAATATAAATACTTCAACATTCAAATTCTTAGACATAACTGCTAGCTTTCCACAAAAAGAAAGGCGCTACATGCCAAGGGAACATAACAAAGGATGGCCTGATATACCCCATACATACAAGAAAAATACTGCAACATTCTCTAGGTTTTTTCCTGTTTCTGCACTTCTGTGGTGCTGAATAGACTTACTATGTAATGCACTCAAAGTTCAACTATGCTACCTGCAGACAGATCATGTGGAAGAACTTCTTTCTTCATCCATACTAAAAAAACTATGCCCATCAGCAGCCAAACAGTAAAATAAACCACACATCCTTGCATTTCCAGGTAATTCTGTTAAGACTTCATGAAAGTGAATGAAATCTTTGGTTTCTTATACAAGTTGGAAAGTTCCCTTAAGAAACAGTTCTTGATCAAGGAGAACAACCACATATAGCACCCTGCAATATGGGTTTTTTTCTTCCTTCATATACAAGTAACTTTTCTTAATGCACAATCTTTGTTATCATGGTTTGGTAGAAATTCCCATTTTGAGCTAATTAGTCACTGGCTTTAGGCCTCACCTAAAACCCACCCCTTTAGTTCATAACATCTTTGATATGACAGGAATTAGAATTATCTCCCCTTTTCTTCCTCCCTTCCCCTTCCCATTAGAAAGGTGTTTCTCTACAATTCAGTTCTATCACATTCATTTTAGTCAATGATTAATATCAGAGCCTCAAAATTTCTGTCTATAATCCGAATCTTTTCTGTCTTAAGGTAAATGAAAATGCGGAGCAAACAGGCAGCATCTTTTCACACCTTCAAGCTCCAATTCATACTATCCCTCCAACTCTCTTTCTTTATAGTCACTTTTCCTCCATATTAAAAAGGAATAAGCCAAGTAAAAAATAATTAAATCCATCAAAAATGTACAAACTAGTAAATAATTCTATTTACTATGAATGCCTATAATTAAAGTCTTGTGGCAATTTCTTAAAAAACCCTGCGGATCTAAGCAGCGAGCAGGACGCGTCTGCTCTGAATCTGTGCAGTACCTTGCAAAAGAGATGGGGACTGGTCTCTCAACATATTTTACCAAGGTATAAAAGGAAAAAGTTAAGATGACAAACAGCCAAAGGAAGGATGGGAAAAGACACACGTCAAAGTTTAACTTTTAGATAGTTATTCTTTTTTAGAAAAACAGATAGTCCCTAAAGTCATCTGTTCCTAGAGGCTGCGCACAGCTTGTTTTAAGTAAGTGAGAATCATAAATCAGTAAGCTTAAAATAGCGACATACCTCACCTTTTCTTCAGATCTCCAAATACTGGAAACCCTAGGCCTCAGTAAACCCACTTGCTAGGAGCTTTAATAAATACCACTTTGTTTTAGAACTTCAATACAGTTGTTTCAATTCAGCTTGAAACTGCAGAAAAAAATAGTGCCACTACCTAAAAATTTAGACCCTCACAAGCCATTCAACGTCCTTACACAGGCTGTAGGAAGAAGCACCTCCCTCTGCTAAAGGAAAACCTTTCCTTTCTAGTCATCTAGTATACTGTAAGGTATTCTTATAGGAACTCAGAAAAATAGATTACCCTGCCATTATACTGTACTCTTAGAGTACCGAACTCGTGCGAGTGAGGACATGACTGAAGGCACGCAGAGCTTAAATTTCACTAAGCAATGCAGGAAATGCCAGAAACTTCTTGAGTCTTGGTGAGGCTACCTTCCATAAAGAAGAGAGCTGCCTAGTATAAACTGTATTGTCATTACCCAGGTGCTCTCAAACTATTCACCCTGAACTATTATTCTGTAACTATCCAAAAATATCGAATTTACCAAAGCCATTTCATTGAGTGTCATACTCACCCCCATGCACAATAAGGCTTCAGCTTGAGATAGGATCTTTCCAAGTTCTACTTTTTTTTTTTTTCCTTTTTAAGGCATTATAATAGTGTAAGCCACTCCAAATATACCTATATATCCTGCGTAAAAGTCCTTCTGTGTACAAGCTAAAAGCTACCACAGGAACGCAAGCCCTCTGCCGAGTGTTAACTTGTTATAGAAAAAGATATGAAGTACATATGAAAACTTTTATATATTCTTGGATTGCTCCAAATTAATCATTCTCTGATTCTGAAATGTTTTGCTTCAGAGAAGTAGAAACTATTTTTGTTAAATGACTACACTGCAGTTCCAAAGACAGCAGAGTAGTTCATATCACAGTTCCCTGTTGATGAGGAGCAAGTTCAGATACATCCAACTACATCGTACTTAAAATGGTGTAGACAGGTTGCCAGACCTAATTTCTGTCTGAAACAGGGTTTTTTTTCTTTCCTTTTTTACTTCTTCCTCTTCCAAATTAAAATCAACAACCATAGAAATCAGTGCTTTCTTACTGCAGCCCAAAACCTGTAGGAATTCCACGTGGATCTCACTCCGTCCCCAACCCCAGACAGGTAAGTGTTTATACAATACACCAGTATTTGGCAATTAATTTGACATTCTAATTGAGACTGCTTGAGCATAAACCGCATTCCAAACCAACTTTTTTAAAAAAACCTTTTTGTTGAGATTAATTAAACACCAAAAGTTGGAGGTTTGGTAATAGATGTAGCCATTTCCTCTAACAGTATTGCAACGAAAAAAATGAATAGCTGACCACAAGGAAAAGCCCACCCCAGCTGCCACATCTCATACATCGTAACATCTCAGTTCTCACCAAAAGTCACTGTTTCACCCAAATACCAACATTTATCTGACTTAAAGCAATTTACTTACCTTGTGTCTGCATTTAAGTACAACGCCATAGGCTCCTGAAACAAAGAAGAAAAGAGATAAACCATCTCAAAGCAGAGAAAAAAAGCAACAAGATAAAACAGTCTTCAGTCACCTCCTGGCTATAGCAATAATATTGTTCACAGTATTATTATCCAGAACTTGCACATACAGGTACTGTACTAAGTTTCCATGCACTGAAAGAATTTTATAAAAATTGCTTGAAAGTAAATGGATTTTTAAATGCTGACATTATCTTTTTAAATATACTTGCAGAGACGTTTGATAACTTGCAGAGAAATTAATATAGTAAAGCTTAAACAAAACAAACAAAAAACCCCTAAAACCATCAACATGTCCCATTTCTCTTCCTTTTCTTTCATCTTCCAAACTCCTCCTTCCATCTAAGAATGGAATTAGGAGCTGGAGAGAATAAACTGGTGTTTCTTAAGGTCTGCATACAAGCAATATTTTGCAAATGAAAACCTACTAACATCAAGGAAACAAAGTCAAATCTATATAAAACTCTAATTAATTTTTTATTAAAATACTACTTACCTTCACCTACAACCCCAAGGATCTCAAATTTATTCATCACATTACCAATGTTAGGAATCTTCATCAAGACAAATTCCTCTTACGGTGAGAGCCACAAAACATGGCACAATGGGGAGCGTCCAAAGATCTTGCAAAAGGCAATTGTGAAAAGGCTCTTGGGGAAAAAAAACTCCACCTTGATCAGCCAGACTTGTCACACCCTTTCTTAATTTCTAGGCAGTCAGTTGCTTCCTGGGGAAAGAAGAAAAAATAATGTAATTAGTACTTTGTTTTATTTCACTAGGAGAGCGCAGTGGTATATATACATGATACCAATATTGTCTAACAATCATAACAGACAATTAATTCACTTCTACATTTTATGATCAAGAGAGCTTAGCAGCATGTATAATGGATGGAACCTGTTGAGAACACATACATTACAGAACAGCTGGCCTTGTAATCCCATACTTAGGATGTCTATTACAATAATAACTAATTTACAGAAAGTTATTTTCTACAGGACAGAAGCAAAAAAAAAGTGTTGATAGGAACTACCTCAGTGAGCAAACATACACCTATAATTATTTATGTTCTCAGTTTGGTTTATGTTGACAGCTAGGTATAAAAACGAATTGTGTTTAGTCAATTTATTATTTGTCTACTGTAAGGACAAAAAGGACAAGGTAGAAAGAGCTCTAAACAATAGAAAATATTATTCTACTACTATTTTCTGTGATTGTTTAAAAAAATAAGGACATTTGCTAGACTGATTAGTAATCAGATTTAGAAAATTATTCCCATTATCAGTTTATTTAACGAAAATGTAATAAACAGCAAAAAAACGTTTTCAAAGGGGTTTGTCTTTTTTTTTTTTTTTCCCCATGTTTCCCAAACACTGAAGTAATTTGTCAAATCAAGCCAACTATATACAGGGACAATAACAAAGTTTTTTGTGTTTGTCTGTTTTAGGCTCACCACATCTGTCCTATAATCTCAGAAGTCTGATAAACTAAACACACTGAAGTTTGGTTTTGCTAATGCATTTTTTTTTCCCCCACCTAATATTAAAGGCATACATCCCACATCCAAATATTGGAAAAAAGCTAAAACAGCTTCATCATGAGTTGGAAATACGTCATTTCCACAGTTCAGTGTTCCAAGAACAGGACTAGTTGTGAGGAACAAGATGGCAGGATAAAACTGAATTAATTTAACTCGTGTAATGGGTGAGTGTGACCTAATGATACTGGGTTCAGCTTCCACAAACGAGAAGTCTCATTGCTATTTCACTATAAGCTCAAGCTGCTGGCCAAAAGCCCTGCATTGACTAAGCCATACATAACAAAAATGATGACTCAAGGGTGGAGGGAAATCACAATGGCACTAGCCTCAGCAAGGCACAAGGGCACAATTTGAGGCGTTTTGTTATTTTAGAAGCAACTTCAGAGTTATTCAACCACAGTATTTTGGAAACAAACTTTGAAAAATATAGCAGTGGCTTCTGAATTAAAGGGATGGTTAGGGTTTTTTTTGTTTGGTTTTGGTTTTAAAAAAGTTACCCACTCCTTAATGGATTATTTCAGTGGTTTAATTTACTGTTTTAATTAATCGTTTTTTTCCTTCACTTGTGAATTGTATAAAACTCTCTTTCCTTCCTCTTCCATATACTCTCCTCCTATCTCATTTGGCATCTCCTTCTAACAAAAGCCTTTGTGCTGTCTGTCCAGGATTTCTGGTTACCGTAATGAACTACAAAAATGAGTTCCTGAAAAACGCAGGAGCATCTGCTCAGTTGCACCCATCAACATGAGAACAGAGCCGGCACCAAGCTGCTTCGGCTTTCTACTGAAACAGGCTGGTGCCAGGCACATGGGTGCAGCTGGCTGTTTCCATGCTGCAGCAGAGTGACAGAAATAAGGCTACAGAGATCTTGAAAGAACCACTAATGCCATAACATAAGCAAGACACAAGAAAACAGGTCAGCTACGTTCAGAACAGCAAAAACACTTGCTGGAAAGAAAGGAACAATCAGAAAACATATATTCTGTTTTCCATTAGCACTATTCAACAAGATCACCAAATGTGCTAGTTCAGTTCCCAACATTATCAATCGACAAGTCTTTCCAGAAATTAGTTTGTGATAACATGGATTACATCTCTGCTAATATTATTACAATACATTGTCTTTCTGCCTTACAGAATACACAAATACTTCTTAGATCTGTTACAAAACAGTGAAGAAGCTTATGAGATAACGTATCCAAAACTCAACAACAAATTTAGATGCAGTTTCCTCTGTCCCTCATTCACAATTTCTGAATTTCTCATAAACTACTTAAAGCTATACAGACTTGCAGCTTGTGATTCACTATTTCTATTTTTTGAAGAGTTCTTTGTTGGGAATAAAGGTTACATTTGCAATCAGCTAATCTTCCTTTCTGAAACTCAGTAGTACATATCTTCCTCTCCCCACTGATCACATAGTTCCCTTCTCACTCTATTAAAAGAAAGAGCCACAGAAAGCTGATCCACTTGTTAAACTGGTGCTCCTAGATGCATGGCACTCAGAGCAGCATTTGCGTGTAATTCCCTAAAGGTAAAAGCCTGTCAACTTACTTATTGGCATTCATTCACCTTTAGTGATACACTTCAACTGGCCCAAGGAAACACACAAACCAGCCTCTCAAATTCTCCCCGAAGTGCATCATGACTGACAGCAAAGGTAATATAGATGCACAATACAGGCGGACTCTGAAAAGACAACTGCGCTTGAGCATCCCACCTCTTCTGCGCTAGCTCCATAGTCACCTCTGTGCACAGCTCTGCTGAGAACACTTTATGAGAACCTCACCTTGAAATGAAAAGGAGAGCTAATGAAAAGATGACAAGTGCATGCAGCAGTAGTATGGACTCACACTCAAACACTTTTTGCCCCAGCTCTTTTGCCACATCTCCTCAAGCTGGGCAGTAATTCAATCTAGTTCTCTCCTGCAACATTAGCGAACCCAGACTAGCTAGACCCATCTAATCCCTAGACAAGATGTACATACTTGTTTGAGATCTTTGCCTTCAAAAGCTTCTGAAAGATTGGAAATAAACTGCTAAAAATACTTGCTCAGTGGCAGCACCCACTGAACCTTCTGGGATTTTTCTGCTTTTTGAAATGCACTGGCCTTGTTAAGACTGTTTCTAAAATCACTGATTCTGGCAGGGAATTTGGTAATATGAACTCAAACTCCATGAACAACACAGTCTCGTGAATGGCAGAGTAACTGTAATACTAAAAATAAAGAAAAAAAAATTTAGACGTTTTAACCCAAAAGGTATCTTCAAGAAAGTTATCCGTAGCAAGAATTACATTATTCTGTAACTTAGTGAAGATAGGCTGGATTCTTTCAAGCTGAACACTAGAAACAGCAAGAAAAGCCTTATTAATAGCAACCACAGTTTCATTCTTTGCACTGAGTACCATGCAGGTCTGTTTTAATAAGTTGCCTGCTGGCTAGAACGATAACCCTTGCAGAAGAGGAAATAAGGTCATTCTATACCTCTCAAAGCTTCTCAGTAGGGAAATAGCACTCATTCTCCTAACATCCCTTTCTGAGGCAGCTGGATTCACAGCATATCAACAACTTATGAATCAAACCAACAGATCTCTGAGATGGTCTCAACGTTACCACGGCATTCTACAAAATGCAGAGCCAATTCAGCAAAATTAAACATCATTAAACGAACAAGAACAAATTAGGTTTACTTAATCCGGCACAATAACACTGTGAGATTTTAATACAAATGCAGTTGTTTCGCAACAGCATGTAAGGCTTATATGTAAACAACAAAAATCATATAAACATTCTGGAAATGAACATACAGACTAATCCAACATTATGGCACCTGATCATTTGCATTTAAATTAAAACAACTGGGAAAAACCTTAACTCTTCCCCGGTTCCTTTTCCCTTCATGACTTAAGAACTCTAGAGCACCTCTGGAAAGCACCCAACTTAACCATCCACTCTAAGGCCTCA